AAGGAGCGTCAGGATAGATATTCAGGCTGCTTTCCAAACAGATACAATAGAAGTTCTCCAAAGAGAGATCTCAGGAGCTTTTATAAAATAAGTGCTTGAGTCCTTCCACAGTTGCTCAGCAATCCCTTATCTCTCACTAGCTTTAAATTCAGAACTCACATTTAAAACATCACAGGAACTTTTAGAGCTGGCAGTTTACTAGTCTTTCATTACCTCCAGCGGAGTTGCTCTGCTGAATAACATGAACTGAAAGCTTCTGTAAACTATATGACAAGTGAAAGCGGGCAGATTTTCATTCCATATACACTGTATGTAAAGGTATGTCTACTTAAATCTGTGCTTAAATGCGATCATTTTCTTGCATACAACTTCTGATTCTGTGGGGTTTTTCATTTCTTTTTTTGAAGAGCAGAAGTAAAAAAAAAATTAAACGTCCTACAAGAAGGTTAAATGGTTCTTCCTGTCTTACAGAACAAGGATCTCAATACCTTCAGTAGGTTATTTTTTCTTTTTTTTACTTTTGAAGAGTGACAAAAGGACAATCTCACACTGAGCTCCTTAAATTCTTTCTGGAACTGGCTTCCAACCTCAAAAGTGCATTCCAGATAGACTTATTTTGCCTCTTTAGAGGAAATTAAGGACTGGTTTTACTACGACAGAACCAAAACTTCATAGTCCCTGTTCATCTTCTGTTTGGAAAGGGAGTCTCAAAACAATCTCTAGAGTTCTACTATTATCAAATCTGACTGTATTTGGTTCCCACCTTTGACCTCATCAGCCACTCAGAAATCCCTGTCTGAACACTTTCCGGCTGGTTTTCATGCATGCAGATGACATCATTTCCTATTAAGTACACCACAAAATGTGACTCCTTATCGTCTCTGATTAGTCAGATAGCTCCGTGCACAACCACAAAACAAGCAAAAACCAGCTACAAGTAATACTATAGCTCCTTAGCTGTTAATACTATCCTGCTTCCTACTCCTTATATGTAGACTGTGCTAGCTGGATTTATTTACCCACGCTGAGGTTTAAAAATACTTATTTCCTTTGTCATTGTTTGTTTAAGGATTGCTGCTATGTGCAGTTCATAAATGCCAAAAGCTCCATGACTAGGGTTACTTGTCTTGCTTCTAACTTGCCCCCAGGCACTAAAATTGACTCCTGATGCTCTCAGAGAGAGAAGCTTCCAAAAAAGTAGTCACTCCTTGAGTGACCATCTGCTACAATACAATATTTCTGAAACATCTAGACAGATTCTGTATAATTTTTATACACATTAAGACTTTGCAGCCCAATAAAAAGGAAGTAAACTGATATTTTTAATCAAATAAAACACCATGGAAGCAAAAACAACAACAAAACAACAACAAGAGACTCCAACCCATAACTTTCACAGCAGCAAGCAGAAGATGAACATTGTTGTTCTTTACTAGTATTTACATTAACATAAAGCATAATACCTTTTCAGTACTTGCTTTCTAAATTAGACAAACGTGCATAAAATCACTGGTGGATTTGGCACAGGGTGTCTTATTGATCCCTTCACCTGTTCCTTGTCTCAGAGAGAATCATATATAGAATATATGTGTATAGAATATATACCAAATATATATGATTCACTCTGAGAATACACACACACACACATATATATAGAATATCCCACGTTAGAAGAAAACCCCAAGGATCACAGTATACAACTTCTTATATTGTGGTGCCCAAACCTGCACGCAGTGCTTGAGGTGAAGATATACCAGTGAAGTGCAGAATAGAACAATTCCTTCCCTCACCTGCCTGGCATTGCCAGACCTGATACACCCAAGGCACACTGCTGGCTCACGTTCAACTGGCCATCAGCCAGAACCCCCAGATTGTTTTCTGTGGGGCTGGACTTCAGCTTTTCATCCTCTCATCTGTACAGCCAGGGTCACCCCCTTCTCAGGTGCAGGATCTGGCACTTGCTCTTGTTACACTTCACATGGCTGGCGGTTACCCAGCCCTTCAGTTTGTCAAGATCTCTCTGCAAGGCCTCTTCTCTTGCAAAGAAGTCAATACTCCACCTAATTTAGTATGCACTTGAGTCCTGCATCCAAAACATTTATAAAAACATCAAAGAAAACTTGCTCTATAATGGAGCTCTGGGGAACTCCCCTAGTGGCCGGTCACCAGCCCAATGTAAGCTCATTTACTATATATAACCCTTTGAGCCAGTTGTTTACCCACAGTATTACGTAGTTGTCTAGGTGTATACTAGATATTTTGTCCAGAATTATGCTGTATGAAACAGCTTTGAACACATTGTGGCACTGTTCTGGAAGAGATGATGCAACTGCTTCACAACGTCTCTTACATTCAGCTTAGGCTGCAAAACTCTGGATAGTCTTCTCCCACTGAGTTCCATGTTTTTCTGATGTAAGAAGTTAGAAGAATTGATTCTTTTACACTTCGCCTGTTCCATCGGCCCAGGAACCTACCGTTTTGAAGTTATTTAAAAACCTGATGGATTGCCTTTATATGAAACTTCAATGTTTTGATTTACCAGTCCCATTTCAATAAAGTAAAACTTCTGTCAAAGTGCAATGCACACAGAGAAATAAGCATTGTACTGAGTTCTTTGGGGTAAAAAGTTAGTAACATTGTACTACTGAAATGGAATTCTTTGATATTTCATTCTTGTTTCAAAATCAACATTCTTCATTAAAGGTTAATAGAGCACACAAAATACTAAAGAACTGAACAAATTGTTTCAGTATATTCAGAAATATCTTCACCCTCTTTCCTTTCCAGCTTCTCAGCAAAGCACTGTGGGGACAGCATAACCCAGATTGCTAGCTATGTCTTCATATGTTAAATGATAAATATAGAGTTACAGACACATGATGAAGAACAAACCAAAACAAAACATTGCCACTTCAGCTACCTGCCAGAAGATACAGGTACACTAGGTCAATTTTCTGCTATACAGTTTCAGACACCCTCCTCTGACGATCATGCTCGTTTTCTAACCACTCTGTGAATATGTTTTTTGGCTTCATAATGCTCTGACACCTAAACTGTGAGCTACTCTGGAGAACAAATTGTTGCCTGATGTTTTCAAATCTGTTCAGGTTTTCTTATTGTTATTACAATGGTTTAAGAGCCAAAATGCCAAATCATAAGGAAGATTTACTTCCAGTGAGGGGAGTTACTATTCCAAGATGAAAAACATTCCATACTGTGAACTTAGATGCAAAGCTAATCAATTTCTCAGTACTAGGGGTATGCAAAACACAACAGGTCATGAAAAATTCCTGTTTTCAAAGTTTCAACAAAAGGGGGAAACTTCTGGTGGATTCTGCAAGACTTCGAAATCCACCATGACATGCAAATTTCTTCATATTTTGCAGAGGAAAGGTAAGAATAAAGAACACTCCAAACTTCATCCAAGCTACCTCTTCCTTTTGAACGTTTTTAACTTCACTGATGTAAGAGCTGTGAAAAATCAGAATTTCTTTGGGAAAGAGACTCTTGCTCTGTGTTGACACCAGCAGATATGAATATCTGTGAGCTGAATTAATAGCTGTTTTCAGAATGGATGGAACTGAGGATGGTGCTATTAATTCATGACACCAGAAAAGAGAGGTAACATAATTAGCATAAATGAAACATGAAAAATCCTTCATGTAAGGCTGTAAAATGTCTTGTAAGGAAAAGCTAGCCTATGCAACTTCTCACAGTGAGCTAAAATCAACAACTCTGTCTTGATTCACAGCTCTCTGACATCACCAGCCATTTAAATTCCACTAACAGAAAGTAAAATGTTAGTGCTTTGATGTCATCACTGAATATGGCTTCCTCTTTTGATGTGATTTACCCAAAGTATGCAGAACATGAGACTCACTCCTACCCATCTTCTATGTTCTTCACTTTTCCTTTCTCCCTCAACAGCTGGCGTATATAACTACTCTAATTTCATTTGTTAATGAAGCAAACTCTAAAAGTAGGGGTTTGGTATGTATAAGTAGTATAAAGGTATTTAAGTTCAGCCCTGATCTTAATGGGGTCCTTCAGGAGGAGACCTTAACCTTTCCTCACGTTTCCCCTGTTTCCTCTTTCCATTTAGACTAGCCATGCCTGTGACAGCTCTGCACCTCCTAGTCAGAGCTTGGTGAAGTGAAAGGACCTGAAAGATGAAGGCTAACTGAATGTGGTTCATGTGAAGTTTTAGATCTGGTTTATTAGGAATTTTTATTTTATAATTAAACTCCATTGTTTGTTGTAAAGGGATACCTATGTGCAGTTCAAGAATCAAAATCTCCCATTATGGCTGGTGCTGCCTCACCACACGTGAATTTCTTTTTTAAATCCTGGCAGCTTTGATTTTAAATGAATCACTCAAAGGTTTGGTGAAAGAAGCACGCAAATGTTAGCATTTGAATGCTGTTCTTCATTTTGCTATCAGTAAGTTATGCAGCAGAAACAAAATTAAGGGAAGAAATTAGAAAGGTAAATCACAGGAAAAACATATGCCTGATATACTGCTTCTTCTGAAGCCCCCAAAATGGAAGTGTGGATCAGTATCACAGTGTTATCTCAACAGGCTTATATTCATTGCTGTGCTGTCTCTACTTGGTTTTGTGGGAAAGGCAATGGGATGGAGGTGGCAAGGAGCCAAGAATGTATTCCCAATCTTAAGACCAGTTTGATATCAACCTCAGCAGTCATGATAACAGTTTGATGGTGCAAACTCCACAAGAGCTGTAATCACAGGAGTAATTAGAATGGAGATGCTCTGTCAGCCTCTTACCCCTGTTTCTTCCCTGGACAACAAATGTTATTGCTGGGCAAAGTGTGCTTACTACGTACAGCAGTATCTCTGGCATACAATACGTTTGTGCTTTTTGATACTCTCAAAACATATAGCAGGAGCAGAGATGTGGTTTGCGAATCATCAACAGTGGTTTACATATCTTTTGTGCTGACAGATATTGGACCAAAAGAATTCAATCTTGTTCACTTACCTCTGTTAATGTACTTCCTGGATTTTCTACAGATGCCTCTGCTTTTGTATCCACACACATTCTGCTTTGCTTCAAGCTTGAACACCGAAAAAAAATGCTCTGTAGCTCTCTGCATATTCCAAAGGCATGCTCTTTAATCTGCAGGAAAAAAAAAAAACGAACAATACAGTTCATTTTTTCCTAGGATAATTCCCAGAAACCTAGAATAATTACCTGAAGAACACATACTGATTCCTCATTACTGTAACCCTCTATACCTATCACAGATGTCAACATGTTGATGCTGTTAGTATTGATAAGTAATTACAATGTCATCCCTCTCCAATGATCTGCACTGTAAAGGGGAACAATGTTATGCCACACTCCAAACATATACAGAGACAACAGAAACCCTAGGAACCAAAACTGATAGTGAGACTGGAAGCAAGCTGCACATTATCCCTCTGGTTACACACTATCTTACCTAACCCATTCAGCTCTACCAAAGGTTCCTTTCATAGTAGTAAAGGAAAAGCAAAACAGTACCTATCATCTTCTGTCTGAACTTACATTTTAGTCATGGAAATCAGAACTTTTATCCCGTTCTACACCAGTGATATAGAATATTTTATGTACAGAATATTCTATTCTATACCATATGCCATGCCAATAGTGTGGCAAAAACTGTTGGTTTGGTTTCCTCATGGACTCCTAGCTGAGCCCAGAGCCCCTCACTCCCACATTCAGTCATAACTAGAAAAAGATATGCCAAAGAGGCTGTTCAAAATGTTCACTAGCCAGGGCAGGAAAAACAAAAATATGAACAGTAAACCATTTCCCATTCCCTTCCATGGAGGCTACTTCCAAACTTTATACTCAAGCCTAAAACAAATCAATTCCGAAGGCAAAATAACAAATCCCCTTGTCTGCCCTTCCTGCCTGGGAAGCTGGAAGGGAAGGGAACACCCTTCTAATAAACAGACCCAGCTTCCACTCCGGGCTCACACAGCTGAGCCCAGATTTGATAGGCCGACAGGAAGAATGGTAATTCCTCATTTGCAGAACACCTTTAATTTGGCTGTGATATTACAGATAGCATACATAAGACAACCACTGGCTGTAAAGCCCCTGGCTCAAATCCTGAGCAGGAAAACAAATTCTAATACCTAGGATTTTTTGAATAACTGCTCAGCTATGTAGACACAGTATCCTTACAGGCAAATCACTGTGGACAAAGGAGAAATAGAGGAGCCAGTACAGTTCTTTCCTGAACTCAGAACTAGAAATGTTTCCTCTAGAAAAAAGAACAATCTCACACCACTGGATTTTTGAAAGCAATTCACATGATGAAGCTATAGCAATGAAGACAAAAATAATTCATATAAAATTAGGAAATACGAGTTAAACAATCTAAGAACTTCTACCAAAGCAAAAGCTAGACCAAAAATAGATTTTTCCAGGCCAGAAAAAAACCAAACCTGTGTAGAATCAGTAATTTCTGAAAGCCTTGCCACTTACCCTTTACACCTTGCACAACATAGTACTGATATGGTTGGAATTGGACCCTCCTGACAGGATTTAGAGCTCTTTGAGAATTTTGTGCTGATTATATTTGAAAACATATTGTAATTTATCTAAGCAGCATAATTACTTTTGTTCCATATGCATGTCTTGTCACTTTTAGTGGGGTTGCTCAATTCCTAGTCAGGCAACACTGCTGCCTCTCTCAGTAATTACTCTGCTATCATCCTGCCTCCAGTGGGTAACCTCAAACCAGTATTACCTTTTCCCCTTTTCTTGTTACATTTTCCCTCTGCCATTGCTTTGAGAAGTACTCCACAACCACCACGGGCTGAGAAAAGCACATAATAAATCATAACTCCCTACTGGCAATTTCTGAAGATGTTGCTTTGCACAGAACAATACACACCAATGAGCTATGCTCAAAACCAAACCTTGACAACTGACAGTGGAGAGAACAGGACATCTCATTACCTTATTGTCCCTTAGTGTGAGCTACATGAGAACTTCAGGAAATGGCTTGATTGCTAGAAGAATAATCAATGAAGTGTTTTGTCTGAAAGCAGATATCGATTCTATGCTGACTTCTACCAAAATATTCCCAAGCTCACAAGTGCATTGGATATATGAATTGCATGCAACCCAGACTGCCAACTTGTTCTTGTCTTGCTCAAGACAGCGCACTGAGAAGGATATTATGGGCTAACGCTACATTTGATACAGTTTGCTCTATGTGCTTAAAGCTGTCATCAAGAACTTCGTGTTTCCAGCATGAGAGAAAAGTGCCTCTTCAAACTGCCACTTCTCAAGGCGAGTAGTATGAAAGACACAATAGCAACCAGGATTCCATTTCCTACTGCCATAACTTCGAGAGGTTGTTTTGTTTGTTTGTTTTATTAAATAAGGCCAAGGGATGACCTGGAAACAGGCATAGCTGTTCTGAATACAGAGGAAGGATCTGCAACCAGGGTACAGTGGCAGGAGATGCCAGTGGGATGGGACAGCCTTCTGTTCAGGAATCAGACATTTTCTGTACAACTAATTATTCGTTAAGAATGCCATTTTCCACTCTGACTCCGCTGACCTTCAATCAGTAATAAAATGTTTCACTTGAGTTCAGAGACCTGACCTCAGCCTTATATGGAATTTAGGAGCTCACAAAGAATGCAGTAAAGCTCTTGTCCCTTCTCTAAGGCAAATATTCTTTAAGGAGAATAATGTTAGAGATCCTTTAAGAAATGTAGGAATTTCAAGATCAAGCTACAGACTGGTTTCTAAGGGAAAATTAAGTTCTGCTGTCCAGATTTTTTTTCCTAAAGTATATTTTTCACAATGGTAGATAAACTAAGCATTGAAAATGCTACGGTGAAGAGAAAAAATTATTCATGGACCCAGTATAATGAACTTTCACAAACTAAGTTTTAGCACTACAAAGAAGATGATTTTGACTACTGCTGGATTAATCTGTTTCTAGGAAATAGATTCTATGCTTCCTATCCACCTGACACAACATGTTGCTCCTGCATGCAGAATCTCACAGCAGCAAGATTGTGGGACTGGTCACTCCAAAGACTTCCCAAGGAAACTCCTGACCATGAGATTCATTTCTGCTAAAAAAACTGGGTCATAAGCAGATTAGACTTCTACAGCTCTTCTCTGACAGTGGTAATGGTTATCAAGAAAACTGCAGGCTGGTTGGGCTCATCAGAAGGAAATGGCAGTTGGACAAGTACAGGCTCCATCCAGGTGTACAAATCCCAGCTCACTTGTTGCAACAAGACCCACAGCAGTCCAAGCTGTATAAAATGTATACTCTGACAAAAGTTACAGCAGCCAACTTTCACCAGACTTTGAAAGAGTTTTAACTAAAAAAAGCTTTTTTTTTTGTTTTCCCACCTATCAGAGAGCTTTTGCAATGAAGTAGCCTCTCAGAGCTGAATTCATTGGTGTATTCATATCACGAGTCTAAGAATTCCTATCGACTTAGAAGAACAACAGCCTTTCATTCACTGACAGAATCAGGGTGATGTAAGGGAGTCTGAATTAATATTTTCAGAAGCTATTTCAAAACAGAGTGTTTTTGGACTACACGTTCTTAAGTAGACTGAAGGTACAAACGCTGAAACTTTGGTTGCCAGATGAAAACCAGGACGAAGGTGGAGGTTTCTGAGGAAAACATCTGTCGAAAGCCTCCCATTTCTGCTCTTTTTCAGAACCAGCGTTTCAAAATGAAGATCATAGCACTTGACAGCTTGCTTGTAAGAGACGTTGCCATGCTTTTCACCACCTTCCAATGATTAGTACATAACAAAAATGCAGCATGCTTTACGGGTTTTTTGGAAAGTGTATTCATTTTACTGAGGTGCTTTGAGACAATTCATATTTGGAATTCTCTAAAGCTTCAAGCTGCTTTGGAGATGGGAGAAAAAATTTCACCTCTTCATGCAGCCATCCCTCCTTGAGGTACATATCTGATAGAAAAAGGCTGCTCAAACACTGGCTGGAAGAAATAAAGTCCAGGTTTTCTAGCACTGCAGACTAATTTTTTTGGTTCTGACCGTCTCCTGTTAAACAGGTACAGGCTTTTACTTTTTTGGCTTATACTTAGGGGGCCCCACTCACACAGGAAAGTAAAGTAGAGGGTTGATAAGATTTGATTTCAAGGCTGTTTCAAAACAAATACTTTGTAAAGAATGAGACCCAGCGCACAAAGCTATTTAATATTCAATGCAGGAATGGTTTTTTCTCCTCTAGTCACACTCCAAGTGAAGGCACCGCAGGCAAGAGGGGCAGTGCAAACTAGAGAAGCCTAATTAGTCCAAATCAGTGTTTGGGGAGCTCTGTAAACAGAGGGCATGTGGAAATGCTCTCCCCTGTTAGTTTCAAGTAACACTATATTTTTATTCTCAGTGCCCAAAGTACTGAAAAAGCTTAAGCTAGCACATCAGCATCAGGCAGAGAGCTCTGGAACACTATTATCCAAGAAGGAAGCAGACAAATACACAAAAAATGTATACTGTACCTAGACTAGGAAGGGGCCAATAAAGAAAAGTGAATTCCCAAAGCTTCTGACAGTACCTCCTACTGTCATTGTATGAGATTTTTAAAGTCTAAAAATCTGTGCAAGAACATCAATGCACTTTGGAGTGGGCATTTGTGTTGGAGGTCAGCTCTTGTACATACTTCTCATCAGAAATCTGTGTCCTTCAGTCAACCTGGTTTCACCAGTGAAACTTGAAATCTTGCTCTATTCTACGAAGAGGAGGATGTGGAACTGCAATTCCCACTGCCCACTGCAAAGTGCCTAAGCACAGCAAAGCTTGGCTGGCTGCAAGTAAGGGAACACAGCAAGCTTTCAGCCTCCTAAGCAGTACAACCCGTACAGGAAGCAGGCAGAACACCATATCTACAGTATCAATGTTTTCTTTCCATCATTCTGAAATTGTTAGTGCATACATTCAGAAACACAGTACCAGGTGTCACCACAGTTAATCCTAATAAAATTGTCAAATAGATTATTAGCATGAAATTTACTCCACATAGTTAAACTACCTCTTCCTACTTCTTCCTTACAAAAGTAGACATTCCAGTAGACACATTTCAGTGTCTACTGAGACCTGCAGAAGACTTTGCATTGGCTTTAAAGGTTTCTGCAATATTTTGAAGCTTCTCAGGAATTTCTCAATAGAGATGAGATGTGAGATTAAACTTCAAATTTCAAATTAAATTCTTAGAAAACTTACTGCTGGGAAATGTCAAGAATAGGGATATTTGTTTGGAGTCAATTTGGGTCAGAAAACATTTCTCAAAAAAGAAGAGAGTTGAAGAGAAGGTGCATGGATGAGATTTGAGGTTGGTTTAGGGGCACTCCTGCTTTCAGTGCTTTCTTTTCCCTCCTCAAAAATGTAAATTAACATATCAAATTCAGGGTGACATTTCTGATAAAGATCAGTTTAAATATAATACCGGAGGTCCTTTAACTGAACAATAGAGAGTGAAAACATCATTTTTACCTGCAAAAGCTGCCAGTGCAAGCTGCTGCTGAATCCAGATCAGACACTATTTGGCATGAAATACCAGTGCATTTAATTCTTTCATTCACAGAAAACTTAATCTTATTTGCAGGATGGCAACGTGGTGGATCACATTGTTGCAATGGCATAATAACGACAAGGCATTAGATTGGAACAGGAATTGCTCTCCATGACAGGCTCTTGCTGAATGCAGAAGGCACATATTACAAGTACAGTTAACACACGTTATTAAAATGCTGTAAGGAAAACTATTTATTTTCTTCCATTAAAGCTCTATCTTTCCACATTTTCTATATGGTAACAGAGGAATGTAATAAGAGAATAAAAGGTGTCCCGACATTTTCTATGCTTTCTCTATCAAATAATCTCTACCTTTTGCCCTCTGAAAGCCACTCCTTTTTCATTATGAAACTAATGCATTAATTAACGAGACAGCTGCCTCAGGAGGAGTCAGCAAAATGCACTTAACTGTTCCTTCCTCAACTAGATCAACACCTCCTAAGAAGCTGGAGAACTTCTAGTAGCCATAGCCAGCCTGTCACAGCTTGTTATATGCTGGTACAGGGACCACAGTCAAAGAGCAATCAGCTCTTTTCCAGTAGAATTCCTGCTATGGGACAAATCTTGCACTGCTCACTCCTGGGTATGCTTATGCCCTGGAGGACAACACAGGTCAGTGCCTCTCCAGCTGTTGTGCCAAGCAAGCAAGAAATTGCTCTGGCCTAGAAGTAGTGTAAGAAATGACAGCACAGGGGGAGAAAAACAAATCCTCCCACTGCAATTCCAAGCAGAGACCAGAATCGCTCTGCTGCTACACTGGGTAGGGATTTCTGGCAGAAAAGAGCACAAGTCTCCCATTTTTGTATGGTAAACCAGGCAACGATAAACAGACTCGCATATCTCAGACAAGATCTTGAAGCCTCCCTTTTTACTTTCCATATTTTGCCATTTTCAGGGTCTGCTGAGTAACAGACATCCAGCCGGCTGAAGAGACAGCCTCACACAGTGAGCTTGCTGAGCAGTGTGCTGCTGTTGCCTCACGCTCTTCTGTCAAATTATACTGAAAAACTAAGACAGACAGCAGATAACTTCATAATGGCTTCAGTTACCTTGAGCCTGGCTCATGGAACAGGCACAAGCCTGGAGTTGGGCTGAGGAGAGGCTCCAACATGTGGTAACTTTGTAAGACAGCTACGTCTCAGTAGCTCGTAAAAGTGCAACCAGCACCTGCCACCACACAGCAAAATCCCAATATAGCGTTTAATAAATCAGAAACCTACCCCGATCCTGTCAGCCCAAAACTAGCCCTGTTCGACGGATGCCATTTTAACTCCACAGCCACCGCGAAAAGCTGCAACGGCTCTCTCATTTTTCCCCACAGAACACGGGGGGCGCGGGAGGAAGAGACAGGTGCACCCGCGGGAGGGAGGGACGGCCTCCGGGGGCGGGAACTGCAGAGGCGGCCGCCCTCAGCACCGCCGGCACCTCAGTGCGGGAGGCGGGCTGGGCGCTGAGGAACGCGCGCTCAGCTCGTGAGGCCGGGCGGCCATAGCGGGTCCACCTCCTCCTCGCAGCTGTCCTGAGCGCAGCTGCACGCAGAGCAACGAGCAGGTGGGACAGACGGACACACCGAGGTGTTCAGGTGTGTGCCTGCGTGGTGGAGGATGCAACATAGGAATTTACATAGGAAGAGCTGAATGCTAAGACCTGTACGTGAGAAGGCTATGAAAGTGCTGCTTTGCTCAGCACCTAGGTTGTACACTGTGCTATTGGCCACAAAAATCTAACGTGTATAGATAAAACCAACCATTGTGCTGTTGTAAGGCTCAGACAGCGACAGAGGGAGAATGCAAAGCTCCACAGGCTTTGTGCTCCACAGAAACTGTCACCACACCGCCTTACAGCATTACTGGTCGCACACAAGCACCGTGCCTCCAGCTGAGAGCTGGCATCCCTTGGCACAGGGAGCAGAGAAATGAGGTGTGCCCACTCTTCAGCTGCTGCAGAATGTAATCCACACTGAGACAAAGAATGGATGTTGGTGGAGCAAAGACACTAACCTGTGCAAGGGAAGGGCTCAAGCACAGATGCTGTCCTGAGGACAGTGAGCTTAGCAGGTGGACAGCAGGAGCAATCTCAGCTTCTGTGGCTTTACTGAGTCGGGTCCTTGCCCAGCTTAACTTGTATGGATCAGTGCTTGTCTGTCAAAGACTCCAGTTTGGTAAAATACATCAAGCCTTGCAATGAATGGAGCCCAGAACACAGCCTGTCTGAAACCTCTTCTGAAACACTCAGTGAAAGGACAGCTTAGGTAAGATTCTGATCACTGACACAAAAATCCCATTTGTTCTGTACTAGCTTGAAACAGTGGCTATCTTTCCTTTCTCTACTCTGGAGTAACTTACCTGACTGTAGCTGTTTTCTGTGAGATAACAGAAGCCCCACTTTAATGTTCATGAACTTTCAGAGAGTTCTGATCACGTGGTAGCTCAAAAAAACTGAAATCACTGACTCATATCAGACCATGATGGTGCCCCATGAGTTCCTGAGGCTGATTCCAGAGAGGAGACGCCTGTGCTGCTGTGCTCTGTGTTTACCTGTACAGCACAGGTAGCCAAAGTAAAGGTGGTGTGGGAGTTATACCCAATAGCATGCCTCAAAACTGTGGAGGAGTTGAAAGCATAATGGTTGTAACAGTCAGAGAGATCATTGCAGTAGAATAACAATACAGAAGGTGTAATAACAAAGGAACTAGCACAAATGGAAAGGAAAAGTGCTCACCCATCTCTGAAGATTTATGTTCACAGGGAAAACTCCACAAGGGAGAAATCCCCCAACCAAAGATCCTTCCCTGCTGGCAGTCAGCCCTTAAATGAGGTCTAAGAGATGTGCAGCCAGGCTCCACCCCTTCCAGTCACACAGCTGCATTGCCTTCACCTGTGCTCCCAGGGCTGACCTGGTCCTTTCCACAGGTGCTCCATCAGTTTCAGGCCAGGACTCAGCAGTTGCCATACAGTATTAAAGAGAGATGTAAGTTACATTGTAATATTCTTAAGGATTTACTTCTGGAGAAACACCAAACTCACTGCTATGTTAGCAATGCAGACTGGATTTTAAACTGCAGGTTATATTCATCTAGTTGACTAACTTAGAAAGAACAGTGACCACTTCTCAGAGTTACTTGAACAGTCAGTGAAATTATGCCTGGTAGTATCTGTTGTCCACAGAGCAAATCTGGTTGAAGACTTGTGTAATGTCTGAACCAACAGCAAAATAAACCTTTTGTATAGTATAATGCAGTTGTAAAAACCACTATATATGCAGAAGAGAAGGTAATTTCTGGTATCTGTAGAATTACAGAATATAAAACCTTCAAATTTAGGGTAGGTTTTAACACCAAAATATAGTATTTTTTTTTCCCAGGATTAAATACAATGTTACAGACAGTTGTGTCCCACACATGCCCACACATAACATACTGACTGAACTAAGACATGGTGTCTTAAAAATTGTTGAAGTATCACATGAAAATAGCAATACCCTCATAGGTTTCTTAAGTGAGGCAGGCAAATAATTAGATGAGTGACTGTCAGTCTTACATTTTTTCTCTTTTAGTAGCCTCAAAACAGCACCACAACAGTGTGTTCAGACTCATGCTTCATGCAAACCATAGTCCAGTGGTACGTGTCTACTTCACCGTCACCATAGCATTGCTATGAATTAAAGTTTGCATGGGGAGATGGGTCAGCTTAGATATTTAAAAACTCTTGGATAGTCTTCTCTCTTTCAAAATCACTAGTGAAACAATGAACAGCCTCAGAGAATAACACGCTTAGTAGACAGCAGAGGGAACAGACGAGGTGCCAGCAGATGGCACTCAAGAATGTGAGCAAGCACTCCTGAGGAAGCAGAGAAAATGGTTGAGTGGTGCACTGTCCAGTACTTGCATGCAGGCTGTACGTGCCCTGTATGCTCCTAGACTGAACTCACAAAGAGTAATTACTAGTGCTTTCAGAGTTTCACATCTTTAATCGGGAATATAAATCCTGTCTTCAGCTTAGGAAATCTTCACATGTGGGACCAAAGTACTCTATGAAGTAGCTTCTTTCTAGATTTGGATTAAAACCAGGTTTTGCTTCCTCATGGATAAGCCGAGCCATTGCATCTAATTTTTTGCCAAGTTCTAGAATTTTATTGCCTCTTCCTTAGGTCCTGGCAGTCAGGTTGAGGAAATGAAACTTGGATGGTTTATGTGTTAAGAGCTATTTCTAAAGGACAGCTTTGGTCTCTAGCCTTCTCCTCTTTAGTGAGATCACTGCAGAAGGTTATTTCTACCGGTCTTATGAAATAAGTTAATGTCCTCCTATCATTTGATTTTAATTAACAACACTAAAGAGATTCTGTCTGCTAGAATTTTACTGTGGAGTCTAGGAAATGTTTGGAAAGAAACATCAGGCTCTGTCTGTTTATGGCTGTCTGTCACCGACCTTAAATCACCTCAGATCTACCAGCTAACCTTCCAACTTGCAAGAGGTCACGACTTCAGTTGATGTGGAAGATAAAGTTGCATTTTAGAAGGGTGACTTTAACTAAGGAAGGGTGTCTTGTTACTCTAATTAATGAAATTTGCCCCTCAATTTCCTGACAAGACTTTGTCTATGATTTATACCTGGACCCTAGGCAATTTGAAGGGTTTTTTCCTTCTTTTTACACTATCACTGTGTTGAATATATCCAGCATTCTTACACTCTAGAGTTTTCAAAGTGCCTGAGTCATGCTTTTGCTTGTGTTTCTTTGGTCTAATATGGGCAGGTAAAAAAGAAGTCTGCCAATGCCAAAAGCTTTTTCCAGAACTCTCCCTGTAAGGCTTACAGACTGAATATTAAACTCTGGGCTAAAGTCCAGCATGCTGAATCCACAGAGGTTTCGTAAGTTAAATAAAAGAATTAAAAAACATTTCTGCAGTTTCAAGTCTATCCATAGCACCATGGGACTGAGTGTGGCATGGATTTGAAGCTCTTGAAAGGGTCGAATGCAATTTCCCCTATGAATATAGCTGTACAGTGGTTAAAAACTTAGCACTTAAATTGTATCTGCTGAAAGCTTGGTATGCAAGTTAACATGACGGTATTTTTCTTTTGGTCTGAAATATGGTTTAAATTGGTAATACCATTTCAAAATATTTTTGTGGTTTATATTCTGGTGGTTTTCATTTATTTGTTTATTTATTTTTGTTGTTGTTTAATAGCCCATGAAAATAGGGCTTAATTAGAAAGCTGACATTTTGTACCGATCTGTTTTTCTCTGAGAAAGGCAAAGAAATGAGCCACACATGCACACACAGGCAGCATTTCTGGCTTCCAGCCCACTCTGAGATTAGCCTGCAGAAAAATTTATTGCCTATTTCCAGAGAGGTCATCTGCCATTCACAAATGTCTTAATTATTTGAGTTAAATTACCACAACTCCAGTTGCCATACATCTGTGGATAGATTTTCCTCCAAACTGTGTAGTCACCCTGATGGAGGGAAGAGTTGGTTAAAAAGTGGGACTGAACTAAGTAAAAGAAAATAAAAATACTTAGTTGAAAATTATACATCTGTGTTTACACCTAGACTATTATGTGAGATAGTGGCCTGGAAACTTGCACAGAAATTCAACTCTGAATCCATCTGTTTGTTTATGTTCTGATTTCAAGCAAGTCCTGCTTTACTGAGTTTTTTTTTCCCCATCAGTTTTGGCTGGTAGTCCTAGTTAAAGAGGTTAGCTAGGGTTCTTCTCTAAACACTGGTTAGTATAGTTGATCTGATTGCTTTATGGATGATGGTTCTTGCTGTGTGGCTTGAAGGCACCTTGCAGTGAGACTGAAAGTTAAAATAGTTTCCATCCTGAAGCCCTGATCTGTCTGGGAGATAGCGGATCCCTGTGGAGCCTGTAGGGCCATTGAAAACCTGGCAAGAATTTTGATTCCATGTTGTAGAGAGACATTGTGGAGCAACTGAGGAGGGACTTTTTATAAGGGCACTTAGTGACAGGAGGAGGGGAAATGGTTTTAGACTGGAAGAGGGTAGATATAGACTAGATATCAGGAAGAAATTCTTTACTGTGAGGGTGGTGGGACACTGGAATAGGTTGCCCAGCAAGGCTGTGTATACCCCCTCCCTGGAAGCATTCAAGGCCAGGCTGGATGGGGCTGTGAGCAAGCTGGTCTAGAGGGAGGTGTTCCTGCCCATAGCAGGGGGATTGGAATGAGTGATTTTAAAGGTCATTCCACGATTCTATGAAACATATATTTATACTGTGGCTATATAAATAAAGCTTTTGGGGACTCAAGTGGAGAACATATCTATATAAAAACTCAGAATCATTTAAGTTAGGGTTTGGAGGTAAGTACTACAGAACTGTCATGGAATCTGGAAAAAAAGACCAGATAAAAGAG